AAATAAATTCTAATTGTCTGGTATCTGGTGAGCTGGAAAAAAAAACAAGCGTTTTGATATTTATTTATTTACTTGTTTTAATGCCATATCAGCAGCATTGACTATATTCATGGCAAAAACATTTACTAAATATACAATATATAATCGTTACAGTTTCTTAACAAACACACACTGTAAATAAAAACTAAATAAATAAATATATAAATAAACAAATAAAAATAAAACATTCAATTAATCAACAACACTGAAAAGAGTAATATACAATCTTTTAGTTTGATTAAAGATAAATATTTTAAAATTGCTCCAGAAGCACCTTTTCAAACATTTCACTTAAAACATTTCCCGAATAAAAACGTTCTCTAATATCATTTAAAAATACACGTATCATCATAATATTCTTACACAAGTCACAAACAGGTTTTTCTTCCCCTTTCAATAAATATGTGTCCGATTCTACATCTCGTATGTACAAGCATTGTTATATAACATATTGAATCAATTCAATATTTTAGGTGAAATGCAAAGTTTATATATGTAATGTTAAACATATCATGGGATTATTATTTTTTTGGGTTTCTTGAAACAAAATAAATATTAACTGAAATATATTGCCATTTATACACTTTTTAAACTTTCATTAAAATGGAAACAGACTTTTAATAAAACTATTCTAGCTATTAATAAAACTAAAATATGGTTACTGATACTAAAATCACATTTTACAGCATAATTACAAAAGTATAGTTAACTACATTAGGTATAGTTAGTGTAGTTATAGTTAGTAGTTTAGTATCAGAGCAAGGAAATTTTCACAGTATTTCCAATAATATTTTTTCTTCTGGAGAAAGACTCATTTATTTTATTTTGGCTAGAATAAAAGCAGTTGATGTTTCTTAAACAGCATTTTAGGGTCAATATTATTATACTCCTTAAGCAATATTGTTTCTGATTATCTACAGAACAAACCACCGGTTTATAATGACTTGCCTAATTAACTTGCCTAATTAACCTAATTAAGTAGTAAAGCCTTAAATTGCACTTTACACTGATTACTAGTTTCTTAAAAAATATTTAGTAAAATATTCTGTACTGTCATCATGTTAACTATTAAATAAATAGCTTTTTTAAACTATTAGGTTTAGAAATGTGTTGAATAAAAATCTTCTCTTATCGTTGCAAATATTCACCTACTGACCACCTGCATACGTTTTAAGTTATCTTTTGGTCAGGTGTTTTTAGTACATTCAATAAAGCCTTTCAAATCAATATACAACCTAATCCTTTGCTAGCCCTCTTTGGTGTATCACTTAGACTTGATTTGACAGTCCGTGACAGCAAAGTTGTTGCCTTTACCACAATTTTAACCAAATGTGCCATACTTTTAAAGTGGAAACACACTTTCCCCCTACACATGACAAGTGAATACAGGACATTTTTACAGTATCACACTTAAAAAGCTGAGATGCTCACTCTCTGGATTCCTTTTATAAAAGACTTAGGATTCCTTTCTTGACTACATCAAAGGTCTGCCTATTACATCTCATGCTGGCAACCTGTAACATTTACCATTTTATTAGAAGGTTTTTTTTTCCCCCCATCTGCATCCAGTTATTTTGATGTCATGATTTTATGCATTTAATTTTCTTAATTTGGCATTTATGTATTTATTTATTCATTCATTTATTTCTGTTTTGTTGAGTTAAACATGAATGACAGGTTCGTGGATAGAATTAATAATGGAAAATACATTACAGTTTACCTCTCAGTATTTAATTTGATTGTCATACAAAAGACCAATAAAAAAGATTGGAATTTGTTTTGTGTTTTTTTAAATCTTCCTGTTTTTTTTTTTTTTTTTAAATATTTCCCAAATGATGTTTAACAGAGCAGCAGGTAGTTAACCTAATTAACTACTTAATTAACAGTATAGGAGTGTCTTGAAAAATATCTAGTCAAATATTATTGACTGTCATCATGACAAAGATAAAATAAATCAGTTATTAGAGATGAGTTATTAAAAAAATTAGGTTTAGAAATGTGTTGAAAAAAATTCTGTTTAACAGAAATAATTCTGACTTCAACTGTGTGTGTGCATATATATATATATATATATATATATATATATATATATATATATATATATATATATATATATATATATATATATATATGTG